TACCCGCCGGTCCATCAGCATCTTCTCCAGAGCTGCTGAATCAAAGCATGCCATCTGTGAACACTCCTGTCTGTCCAATTCCAGACATCACAACTCATGAGCTATCCTGGAAGCAATACTGCAGTGGAATAACTTAGACCCATACTTCAGTGAATTGTATTATATACTTTAATTTCCCCTCTATTTCTTTATTTTGTGTATCCTCTACATTTTGATAGACATGTCTTTGGTTGCCCTTCTCCATGTATCTGTATGATTGTCAAAGTCGAGCTGTGAACACACAGCCATTTCACACCATGTTAAAACACCTGCACGCACATACAAACAAACAGCAGCGGCAGATTAACCGGCAATGACTTGAGCCCCCAGCTGCGCTCGACCGACACAGAAAAGAGGAAAAATGCTTCACTAGAACAAGTGTAACGTTTAGGAAGAGAGGATGTCACACTTGATAGAGTGCGCTTGTCACGCATACCCACAATGCAACAAAAGCACAAAGGAATCTATTCATCTCTTCTTCTTTTTCTGCTCTTCCCTACTTCCTTTCTCATTCTCTTGTCCTGGCTTCTGTGTGTGACTAAGGAGAAATCCTCTACTATGGTTCTCCCGACAGTCTTGAATCAGCATCACTTTCTTTTTTGTTTTTCATCCTTCTTTTTTGTTCCTTCATTTTCTTTTTCTTTTTTCTTCCCGTTTTTTCCTTTACCTCTCATTGTTCTTGTTTTTTTCTTACTTTCAAAGTTTCTCTTCTTCTTTGTTGTTGTTCTTCTTTGCCAACCTCTTCCTTGCCCACCTCTTTGCCTGCTTCACCTTCTGTCAACACCTTATTTTCCACTCTTACTTGTTCTGTACTTGTTTGCCTTTCTCTTGTAGTTTCTTTTCTTCTTATTCTTGTTCTTGATGTTCTTTGCTACCTTATTGCCTTCTCTTCCACTGCCTACTGCTTCACTTTCTTGGACGTCTTATCTGTCACCTATACTGTGCCTCATTTTTCATTTTCTCCTCTTTCTTCTTGGTTCCTAAGGCCTAAATTTGTCTACTTGTTCATGAATAGCTGGCCAATACAATGTTTTTTTTATTTATTTTTTTAAGTTTGCAAAAAAAATAAAATCCTAAATAAATTTCCATCAAGTTGTTAGAGCAGCTGACTGTGGTATTGGTAACCTAGCAACCAGAGATGTATAAAGTACTAGAGACCCATACTTAAGTAAAAGTACAAGTGTTCTATCAAAAAGTGACTTGAGTAGAAGTAGAAGTGCTCTTTAAGCACCATACTTAAGTGGAAGTACAAAAGTATTCAACATTTTTTGTACTTAAGTATTGCAAGTAGTTTATTTCAAAATTTACTACTCAAGTACTGAAAGTAAAAGTACAAGTATTGTGTAATGTAGTTATTAAAGAAGGCAGTCAAAAGACATCATATTGTTTTGTTTATTTTAAATATCTTTGGGGCACTTGATTAAGCAGAATGAAAAGAAACATGGCTTACGATACTGTTTTTCTCTGTAAATAATTTCTATGGTACAAGAATTCACATTGTCAGGCTCTTTTACCAGAAAATCACTTCACTGATGAGATAATTCAGCATGTTCATTCATACTCTCTCTCTCTCTCTCTCTTTTACACACACACACACACACCTAAATGTACTCTCTTACACATTCATACACTCTCACACACAGTTCTCACTCTATCTCTCTCTCTCTCTCTCTCTCTCTCTCTCTCACACACACACACACACACACACACACACACACACACACACACACACTTTTGTGAATTGTGGGGACATTACATAGGTTACAATTGTTTTTATACTCTACAAACTTTTGAATGCTCTAAACCCAACCCTTACAGGAAATTATGTGTAGTTTTACTTTCTGAAAATAATAAATATTTAGTGTGATTGAATTTTATACATAATGTCCACATAATTCACCATCTCCTCCTAACATCTGTGTAATACCGATGTTGTTATACATATACATGGGCGCACACACACACAAACACGAAATTACACTCTTTTACACTCTCATACACACACACTCTCTCTCTCTCTCTCTCTCTCTTACACACACACAGACGCACACACAGGTACAATCACACTGTTTCTCTCTTACATGCATTATTCACTCACACACACTCACACTTTGGTAGTTTTGAAGTTTGATTGGTTAATACCACAATAAACAGGAGTTATGTCTTCTGGAAGCAGTCGTGAAACTAAACTAAACAAGCAAACTAAATCCTGTTGCACTAATTCACTTGATTTTGATTTTATTGTAAAAAGAAAAAAGAAAAACAGGAAAGTGTGTATAGTACTGTGTTAAAAGAAACTCTAAAATACTTTATGGCTTATGGCTATGGTTTAGTATTATTTTTTTTAAATTTTGATTATGTTTTTAATTAAATTGGTCTTGCACTTATTGCTTTTATATTGCATAAATATATTGCTTTTGTCTTGGTGTGACAGTTATAGGGTTATTTTTAATACAATTTTGTTCTTTAATACAGCAGTCACATATATGAACTGTACTCTTAATTTGACCTGCTTAAAGAAAGCACTCTTTCTGAATGTATCAAACAAAACTCGTGCACAGAAGACAGCACAAGCATTTACAGCTAATAAACTCATGTCAATATTATACCGCCTGCTTTTTGAGCGCTGACAGGCGAGGTCTTATGATGATTGGTTATTATCTTCATCTGCTCAACAGAAAGGGCTTTAGAAAAGAAGCGCTGTTCACCCATGGCGGGAAGAATAGCCGGTTATCACAGGTAATAGACACAGTGGAGAAAACTTGAACATCAGGCACGCTCGTGTCTGGATGGATCGACAGCTTTAACAGCCAAGAAAAGAGGGAAAGTTACCTTACAAACAGGCCAGCGGGTCAAATGTCCAAAGTGAGAAAGAGAGAGGCAGAGGTGAAGTTTTACAACATTTCTCCCTATAGTAAATTAGCGGCTCGTGTGCCGCCTTCACTCGCGCCTCCGTCCTCCGCAATAGTATTGCGACATCGCGCATAGGAGATAAATGACGTCATCACGTAATCACCGGTTATGACCTATTACTGAACTGATATCGATCATTTTGACACCCCTAGTAACGAGTAACGATGCATCACATAAAAAATCTATCGGAGTAAAAGTATTAAACTCATGGAAAATATGTACTTAAGTAAAAGTGGAAGTAGGAGAAAAAAATAACACTCCAGTAAAGTACAGATACTGCCTTTTAGTACTTAAGTACAGTAGTGAAGTAGTTCTACTTCGTTACTATACATCTCTGCTAGCAACCAACTTTAAACATGGCAACATAATGGAAACAGTTGATTGGTCATGTGGGACATTCACTATTAGGCTGTGTGAAATCATGATTTTCTTGAACAATATTGCGATTTTGATTTTAATCATGATTTTGACACACGGAAGTTTTAAAGTGTGAATCCGAAACATATTTCCAAAGGAAAACACTTAGATATTTATCCAAGACCTCTAATGTCTCTAAAACAGACAAAAATAAATAAATAAATCACCTAGTAAAGGTGTGTGTGTAGAGTGTGCACGCCGTCAAACACAAGTACGCTTCGATGTTCTGTTTGTTTACACGTCAGAAGTAGTTGTGTGTACTTCTGTACGCGTCCGCAGATTTTTTTTTTTACCATGCATAGACCACAGACCTCTTTATGACGCTGTCATGTAATAGTACGTTCACATATCGCGTCTTTTACACACACAAGTTCATTATTTTCCATAAAGGCGCCTGGCTTGTGTCCATATTGGGAGTGATGCGCCGTAGACGTTGACTTTTTTGGGCACCAGGTCCTCCTGTGCTGAACTTCTTGTTTATGCTGGCTATTTGTCATTAAGCCTAGTGTCCTGTTCTCACGCTCTGTTTAGGTGCGCTGCGTTATGATGGGTTCAAAAATATTACTGTGGGCAAATCATGCGGTAAGACGAATTAGAAATCGCACATTTTCAAGTCGTGATTTCGATACAATTTCAAATAATCGCTCAGCCCTATTCACTATGTCTTTTTATTCTACAAATGTGTTTTAATCTCCCATTATTCACAATAAGTCTATTTCACACAAGCCTTAAACCACTTCATGTAAGCTTTAAAAACATGTTTGCAACTACATTTGTTGTTTCCATTACTTGTTTCTCATGCAAAACTTCAAAATATGCATTAACACAGGGTGATGGAAGTCCATCTATTTTTCTGTAATGTCTTCAAATGTTATTCTTGTTCTATGTCTTCCTCCTCTTTTTCTTCCTCTTTTTCCTTCCTCTTTGTTCTGTTCTTGTTCTTCTTTCTCATCCCATTCTTTCTTTCTCTATCTACTTCTTATTTCTCTTCCTCCTGTTCTTCCTCTTCTTCTGCGTCATCTTTTTTTATTATAAATCACATTCTATAAAGAAAAGAGTTTTAATGAAATTACAATTTTTGCGATCGTCATATTGTCTGTCTATTGCTATGAATTTATGTCGGCAAGACAATCTCTTTAGTCTACGCTGCCAGTGCTTGATTTTCAACTCTAATCACATGGATGGCGTCTTTGATCCTGCTGATACATCTTCAGTCAAGACAGAGTAGAGGTTTGGATATAGTAGCCAGAAAACCCAATGCATGTATGTGGAGGTTCATAGAGGTTTAATAGCAGGAGATGAAAAGTCACTGAATAAACAGGCACAGAATGGAGAGCAAGATTATAGAGCTCGCCAGATAGGCAGAAAAGCCTCTTAAGGAGTATTTGGATTGAGATTAGTCTGAGATATGTGTGATAAGTCTTGCATAGATTGCTTTTCCTCACTCTAATACTTGACTAAATTAGCGGATATTCGGTGGTGTGATGAAAGTTCCTTCTACTGTGTATAATATGTATGTGTGTGTGTTTTATTTGTATTTAATGACAAGTCCTGGAACAAAGCTAATCTTTGGTATTCAACTAATTAATTTGCAGCCCAATGTTCTTAATTTATTGTTTTTTTTTATGCAGAGAGCCAACGGGCATATCGCTTCGTGCAAGGGAAAGACTGGGGTTTCAAGAAGTTCATAAGGCGAGACTTTCTTCTAGATGAGGCCAACGGGCTGCTGCCTGATGACAAGTTAACGCTCTTCTGTGAGGTAGGTGATGTGGTCAATCATTTACTGTGCTTTCCATCACCGGTTTAACATGCATTACTTTTCAATGCTTGGGATCAGTAAGCCTTATTTTGAGTCTTATTAGACTGCATTTATTTAATTAAACTATAAAAAGTAATATTATGAAATCAGTTAAAGATGTTTATAGTGATTTAAAATGTAATTTATTCTATTGAAAAGTGCAATTTTGAGCAGCCATTACTCTAGTTTTCAGAGTTAAATGAGCCTTCAGCAATCATTATAATTATAATGTACTGTTGTGTTCCCAAGAAACATTTATTCTGTTTGTATTTCTTTTTCCTTTTTCTTTTCATCAGTGTTGTTGTAATAAGCCATAATTATTATTATAATTTTTAAGAGTTTGTTAATAAGCAAAAAAAGAAATATTTACTTGACCTAAGATGATATATTTATAATAGTTAAGTACACTACCTGACAAAAGCCTTGTCGCCTATCCAGGTTTTAGGAACAACAAATTATAACTTGACTTCTAGTTTATTATTTGGTATCAGAAGTGGCTTATATGAAAGGCAAAGACCTCCAGATTAAGCTTATTTTACCAAAATTAAATATGATCATGTCTTGATTTTTGATTATTTAATTAGGACAGTAACGTCTGACTTTGCTTAGACAAACTCTTGCCACTTAAGAGAAATAATGTCCAGGATAGAATATAAAGTCAGGGTGTAGTGGAAAAAGAATTAATATTGTGTATGACCCCCATGAGCTTGGAGGACTGCATCCATACATCTCTGCAACGACTCAAATAACTTACTAATAAAGTTATCTGCAATGGCAAAGAAAGTGTTATTGCAGGACTCCCAGAGTTCATCAAGATTCTTTGGTTTCATCGTCAACGCCTCCTTCTCCATCTTACCCCAGACATTCTCAATAGTGTTCATGTCTGGTGACTGGGCTGGCCAATCCTGGAGCACCTTTGCTTTCAGGAACTTTGATGTGGAGGCTGAAGTATGAGGAGCGCTATCCTGCTGAAGAATTTCTGTGGTTTGTAATGTAGTGGACAGCACACATGTCTTGATACCTTAGGCTGTTGATGTGGCCATCCACTCTGCAGATCTCTTGCACGCTCACATACTAAATGTAACCCCAAACCATGAGTTTTCCTTCACCAAACTTGACTGATTTCTTTGAGAATTATAGGCACATGCAGGTTCCAATAGGTCTTCTGCAGTATTTGTGATGATTGGGATGCAGATGACAGATGACTCATCAGAAAAATCTACCTTCTACCAATTTTTTCAAATGATCAACTAGAAGACAAGTTATTATTTTTTGCTCTTACAACTGGGATCGATGACGAGACTTTTGTCAGGTAGTGGATAGCAGTTTAAATGGTTTCACTTTACAACATGGGACATGTAGTTAATGCATTTACTAAGATTAACAAACAACGAACAATACATTTATTACGATATTTTGTTAATATTCAATAATGAGTATACAGTTGTTAATTGTTTGTTCATGTTAACTCACAGTGCATTTACTAATGCTAACAAGCACAGCATTTGACTTTAATGATGCATTATAAACAAGATACAATTAAATACAATAATTAATAAATGCTTTACAAGCATTGTTCATTGTCTGTTCATGTTAGTAAATACATTATGAACTGACATTAGCTTCTGTCCCATTTTGTAAAGTGTGACCTTTTAAACACTTTTTAGATTATATTCAGTTTAAATTGTATCATAAACCAGTTTAGGTCTTTAAAAAAAAAAAAAAACAAGTCTCGAGATGCCATTTAAATTCCACAAGCTGTTTTTAAACTTTAACTTGCTGTGTGTAAACACTCCCAAAGAAATGTGTCTGATAGGGGTCAGGTGAACCTGAAATCAGCTTAATTATACAGGGTTTCCTTCAGACTAATTAGTGGACTAGTCTTGAAAATATGCAGTTTCTCACATCCCTAATGAAGATGGACAAACTCTTCCCCTTCTCCTCCACCAACACCACCTCCTCCTCTCCGCTCTCTCTTCCTCTCTCATTATTATTTCCAGAACTTTCCTCCTCCTTTCTTCCTTCTTGCACCATTCTTAACTCAGTTTTCCTCCCACAATTCCATTCTCATTTTTTGCCTACATTTGAGGTGTTTCTCTCTATTTCTCTGTTCTCTGTTATGCAGTTTCATTTTTAGGTGTTGGCTCCTTAAATAAGGGCCTGAGCATACCTTCCTCTCTCTCTCTCTCTCTCTCTCTCTCATTCTCTCTTTTTCTCCCTCTGTGTTTTTAATGAGGAGAGGGGTCCCATTAGAGGTGGAGAACTCGCTGTCATTGTGGCCAGTGTGATGGAGGGATTTAAGAAGGTTCAAATTTAGGCTTTGCCTTATATTAAAGATTGAGAAAAATCAGACTGATATACGTGTCAGTTTTAGCTAATTGTTTGTTGACTTTGATTCAACTTTTCCTTCTGTTTTCATCTGTATTTTGGTTCTTGCTCTCAGGTCTGCTCTCTCCTTCACTTGCTTTTGCTTTCTCCTTCTTTTTCTTTCTCACCTCTCCATCGCTGTCTCACGCCACCTCTCCATCCTCCTGCAGGTAGATTGCTCATAGTAAATAAATGAGCTCTACACTTTCTCTCTCTCCATCTGACAGCAGCCATCTTTCACTCAGTGCAGCCATATGCCACACTGATATCTCCAGATCCACTACGGCTGCAACATCTGCTGCTCATTTTATATATATATATATAGATATATATATATATATATATATATATATATATATATATATATATATATATATATATAGATAGATAGATAGATAGATAGATAGATAGATAGATAGATAGATAGATCTAAAATATTTAAAATAATAATATTCTTCTTCTTCTTCTTCTTCTTCTTCTTCTTCTTCTTCTTCTTCTTCTTCTTAATAGCAATAATGACTGGAGAAATAATTTTATTTAAAACCACATACATTAAGAAAGCAGTTATTTAACATTTTATTGAATATTTAACAATGAATTATTATTATTTTTTTACATTTAAACAAATGCCACTTTGAAGAATAATTTTCTTTAAAACGTGAAAAAAAAAAACTCCCAACTTTTGTGCGGTAGTGGATATATATATATATATATATATATATATATATATATATATGAATCTCATTTATAAAAAAATTTTTTTGACCGCATTAAATAACAGAGGGGCCACTTTAAAAATGCTCACATCTAACATTATAATGCATCTAACTCTTTATGCTCATTCAGGACAAAATAAGTTGGGTTTAAAATAAATAAATAAATAAATAAAACCTTCAAGAATGACATCTTTAGATGTTGTTGTTATTATTATTCATTATTTGTATTTATCTGTTTAAACATGCACCCAAAATTCAGGCTTTCACTCCAAATTACACATACATAATATGTAAGGAAAACAACGTCTATATGACTGTTTTGAGGATTACATAGGAGGGACGACGGCACCTATAATGAAAAGGAAAGAGAATCCCACTGTTTTTATATTTATTTCAAGGTGTTTTGATGCTAAATAAAATGAAACCAAAGAACAGACTTACTTTTAAGAGCAAGAGGTGGCCCCTGGTGGTTTATAACCATAGTTTAATAGCACTTTAGATATGCTGCAAGACATAATTGTCATAAACGAATCTAATTAAGTTATGTTTGAGTATTTCTGTTTTAGTTGCATTTTGAAAGTGCAATATACCACACACACACACACACACACACACAGATCTTAGAATAATCTGTGCAGATCTGGGATGAATGGATAGTGTGCAAATTGACAGGATTTCCATTAAGTGAACTGTCACTTTAAGTGAAAGTTTTGTACCTGCAGCATCTGCTTTATTCCTCTTCACCCTCAAATCACACACAGCTCAGAGGCGATGAGAGACAGAGAGAGGTAGAAGTGCTAAAGCATGTTACCCTAATGAATGTGAAAGATTATGTAATTGCTTTAGTATTTCACATTTAATGTTTCCATGCAAACATTCACACTTCATATGTAAAAAACTGTTATGTTATGATTTTTTGAGGAACAACCGAAAACACAGTTTTGACCTCTGTGTTGAGCTTGCATCTCTACAAAGGGTGTTGTAGCAAGGAATCCCTTTTCAAGGATGTATGAGGTCGGTAGATCTCTGCAGACGGGTCTGCTCGCACGCATACATAATTGCAAACAGTTCTGTGAGAAGAGAGGCAGATGCTGGTGTCAGGAGGAGGGAAAAGCAGGAATAAGATCAGGTGAAGGAGAAAAAGGGAGGTTGGCGGTCAGGACCAGACTTGAACAGCTTGAGTGGAAATGATGCGTGTAAAAGCGTATGTGTAGTCTGAGATGGAAAGACTGTATAAACTCTCACACACACAAAAAGCGCAGCTGCTCACAAATAAATCCAGCACCTCTCTGTCTCTTTCTTCTGGATTCAATGAATAAAACTGTGGATACACAGTTGTCCTTCTGATACTTATGTGGTAGAGGATGTTATAAGTGTGTTATATTTAACATGCAGGAATGAAAGTATGAATTTTGTATTATCTTTTATTAGCGTTCTGTGGTATAGAGAATTGCACCAAAATGAGAACTGGATGCAGAGCATTGATTTTTCTTTGCTTTGTTATGTTTTTTTTTTTAAAGTTTTTTTATTATTTTATTTTTTGTTATATTTTATTTTGTTACATTTTTCTTTATTTATTTAAAGTAGGTAACACTTAATTTATTGGATACCATTGTTGCACATGTTCCATCTACATACTTTTGTAATTACAATAAATTCGGCATAATTACACCATGTCTTAACATGTGAAGTTTCCAGAGACAATCGATTTGGGCAGGATTATTATCTAATTAATAAACATTTGACATCATTTTCGTTATTAAAAGGACATGCTGAGTGACTGATTTTTTTGTGCGTGCGCTGATTTAGCAGTTCCGATCTTCATGCTTAAACTGTGGTTGCTAGTTATTTTATTTTCATGTTCTGAGGTAAACTATA